GGGCAGTTGCCCTAGTCTGTATCCAATGCTGAACAAAACTAGATCATGTAGCTGTTTGCAAATACTATTGTTTAATCTTTGTTCTTTTAATTCTGCAAATTCACACATTACCATCACATTTCAGATTTCCTTAAAACTCTCATTATTAAAGGAGCTGATTTATATTCCCACATCATCAATGCACTGGGTGCAAATGAATGGAAAGATGCTAGTTCCAATTCATAATAATTAAAATAATCACTATAAAGCCCACAATTGGGCAATACGTATTGTTATCAGAACCAGCCAAAGTGATGCAGAATAGTTGTCTATAAAATTCTTGAACCCTTTGACACTGCAGGTTTTCCACATTTTTCATTACCCTCCTCCCCAGTTTTCCAGAGTATGGTACCATCACAGAACTGGTTGTAATGATTTCTGTTGAAATTTAACACTGATGACATTGTGGCAAAAAATTACACTTGTTTGCATCCACAGGGGATGTTTTCACTAGCAGAAAGAGGCACCTGATTTTCAATCATTTCCCCCTGACCTACTCAAGTCTCATTTGCCTTATTCCACCCCATTCCAATGGGTCCCTCAAACATCAAGGGCCATGGTTTGGGGCTGGGGGGTCACTTACAAATCGATAGCAGAACCTGCAAAAACAAGTGTCCCAGTTTTTGGAATGATACGCTTTTTTCAACCAGCACAAAGCCGTCTGAAATGACTTGACTTGGGGAAGAACTGTGTGGTGGGAGCTGCCCTGTCCTCCTGGCCTGGACATTTTTATCAGCTGTGCTCCTAAATCTGATCTGGGGTATTGGATGTTCCCAGGGAGGAGCCAGAACTGCTACTGACTTTGCAACTTAGCAGTCATACTTGAGGATAGGAAGTTAAAGATGCAAAAAGGAGGTCATTTATGGCCCACAACTCTCTCTAGCCTCATTGCATGGTGATGCTTTCACTTAGGGGGCAATGCAAATGACAACTAGAGCCTTGCCTTCTTGTCTTGAATGAATTGCCTTTTTAGTTGCAGTCTTCGAGACTAACAAATTTATAATGGGTTAAGCTTAAGAGGACTCTAATCCATAACATTGGGCCATATGAAATTTGTGGGTCTTTAAGATGCCACAAGACTCTTCACTGATTTTCCTGTGGCAGCCTAACTCAGTTACCCTCTGGAACATTAGCTTTATTTTTATTTTATATAATGAAATTTATATACCGCTTGATTGCAAATAGAACAGCTAGGTGGTTTAGAACTCCCCCCCCAAAAAAATAATAATCACATTGTCAATAAAATATAAAGTTAAAAAAGATAAAGCATTTTAAATAAAAATACTATCTTTAATTAAAAGATAAAGTTAAAAAAGATAAAGTATTTTAAGCAATCCAAAATATAATTAAAACCAACAGTTAAACTAAAAACAGATTAAAACACATGTCAACTTCTACATGTCTGGATAGGTTTGCCTAAAGTGTTTTTTAGTAGGCATCAAAAAGTGTACAGCAAAGTTACCTGCTTGATATCAAGAGACAGGGAATTCCAAATTGTGGGTGAAGCCATACTAAATTATTGATTTCTTACAAGTGCAAAACAAATATTAAGTGATACCTGTAGGAGTGCCAGTTCTGCAGTTCAGAGTGGTCAAATGGGCATATATGAGGTAAGATTATCTGAGTACCACAAGCTTAATGCTTGCACCAGGGAGTCTAAGGTGGCACCACAAGATCAAAGTCACTCCATTGCATCAACATTCTTCAGCATAATAGGGTTGCTGCTCAGGCTATAACTCATCTCAGCAGAAGTACTGGAGGTAAAATATTGCTCTGGCTTAAGAAACTGCAGTGGTGCAAGTCACCGATGAAAAGTAAATCATTGGCCTAATTACTAGCTACAGAAAAGCGAAAATCAAGCGTCTTTCTTCTTTCTGTTTGTATTGCACAGACAGAAAAACCCTGCTGAGGAATTTTTAAACTATTTGATATCCTCTCTGAGAATTCAGCCAAGGCTTTCAAATATGCTCCTTTGATCCTTTCGCAAGCAGCTGTAGAAAGTGCATTCTTTAAAGTGTTCTTTTTGTTGGAAATGAATAGTCTTTGATGACTTGTTAGTGACCAAAGCTTCTTTCCTTGTATTCAGGACACTTGCCTTGTGCCAAGGTGACAAATTCATTAGTCCTGACATTAAATGATATTGAACAGGCTGATGATGGAAGCTGAGGATACAGGCTTTAGTACTCTAAAGGGAGATCACCATCACTTGGAGGTGAACCTGGTCAAATCTATGAAGTGTGTTTCTTTTATATATGTTCTAAACAACTAATAACAGTTTAACTAACATATGAATTCTTTAAAGAGATGATTGACTTCATTCTTTGGCAAGCTTGCTGAATTCTCCATTTGTGACACTTTTGAGACCCACTTTAGACCTAATGTTGATGGCCTTTTTACTGTCCTGGAAACAGGCATTTCCATTTCAATACTACTGTATTATTATTATTATTATTATTATTATTATTATTATTATTATTATTATTATTATTCCCTGCCCATCTGGTTGGATTCATTGCTTATTTAACGTTCACAAAGACTTCTTTGTGAATGTCTACATTGGGAATGTGGTAAGGAAAGCTTCCTTCTTGGACATCCTAATATCCATTGAGTTCCACTCAGAGGAAATCTTCCAGGAAGCAGTGAATGATCTGTAAAACTAAGTGGTATGTGCCAACATTGTGTTTTCCCAACTTCAATGTGTTTGTCATCTGTTTCATAGACCAAATCATCTTAATCTGGTATGACTTTGAGGTTCAAGATCCATCAGCATTCAAAACTATGCAACAGAGACTGGTCCTCCAGCCTCAGTCTGCCCTCAACCTTGCCTATCTTCTTACTTACTATCAGTCCAGAGCACTGGCTGTCAGCTTGCTCCTTCTTAGACTCAGTGTTGCACAACTCAGAGGAGGATGCTCACAAAAGTAGAATTTGTCGGCATTGCAAGTCATTTGCTCTGGCTCCACCTACCCTTGGTCACCTTGAGTTCCACCCTATTGGTCCCAATGGGCCTCAGCCACCACTGAAAGCACAATGAAGCATCAGCCATGAAACTAGGGAGATCTGTCGATCTATTAATCTATCTACAACACAGAAAGCTGCTTTATGCTGAGTCAGAGCATTGGTCCCTCTAGCCTAATACTGTCTACAATGACTAAGCAGCTCTCCAAAATTCCAAGCAGGGGTCTCTCCCAGTCATACCTGGAGATGCTGGAGGTTACCCCTGGGACTTTAACCATGTAGAGCAGGTGCCCTACCACTGTCACAGTGCTTCCCCAATCTTGAGTACATTCCTTTGGGTGTGCAGGGAAGGAGACGTGCCTCACTGATGTTATGCTCATTAGTTTCAGTGCACGGTATTGCAAGACAATGGCTGTCTTTATTCACAGTATTTATTTCTATGGAGACACTAAGTTTTTTGAGATACATTAATATGCGTGCAGGGTAGTAGCAAATAATAGTTTTATGTGGGAACCAATCTAGGTCAGTCATTACAATCCTTCTAAGTTATTGATGTATTTTCCCCCCCATTGTATTTTAACATAGTAATTTTATTCCTGCTTTCTTTCTGCCCAATCCTAATCTTTTGTGAATAGTAGCCTAAAAATATCTTAATAAATGCTAGATTTTTGTCACTCAAGCATGTGACAAGCATGCACATGATGGTTACTTAATTACCCCCTGTGGATTTGCAGTCTTTGGAGAGTTTGTTTTTGAACAAGAATTCAAACTCTTAGACAGCTTACTTTTGTTTTCTCATTTTGTATTTTTTTTAAAATGCCTTGACATAAAATATTGTTCTTTGCACTGGGTGGTCAGACTGGCAACATTATTCTAATCAGAGAATTATAGGCACAATATGACACATAATGAAATCATCTAACAGCTTGGAAGGCATTATTGGCAAAGACGGTCAAGCAAATTAATTGGGATTTTTAAACAGGTGCCACTGCAATTCATTTTATACAGGAGGCACTCTTGTTTTTCTACAACCTTGTAAACAGAGCAACACTCTTGGGGCTCTTCCAGATGTGTTTTGTGTAGCCCTATAGCTGACTTATTCTGAAATACCTTAAATAGTTCCACAATATTTTCATTGTGTGTAAGGTGCTTTGTGCAGTTTCTCACTTTTATATGTGGCAAGGTGGTGGTAGTTTGAGCAATTTTTGTTTCATGGCATTTCCCCATTTTTTCTGACAGGAGGCCTGTCAATGCAGTCTCTAAAACAATGGACAGCTCAGACTGACTCAGTAAACCAAGTACAGTGGTACCTCGGGTTACAGACGCTTCAGGTTACAGACTCCGCTAACCCAGAAATAGTACCTCAGGTTAAGAACTTTGCTTCAGGATGAGAACAGAAATCGTGCTCCGGCGACACGACGGCAGCGGGAGGCCCCATTAGCTAAAGTGGTGCTTCAGGTTAAGAACAGTTTCAGGTTAAGAACGGACCTCCGGAACAAATTAAGTTCTTAACCCGAGGTACCACTGTAGTTCCTGCTGTCTATTCTCCTAATCTCCCACAGGGTCAGAATTATATCATATCACATGTTATATGCAAAACAACAACAACAACAACAACAAACACTGAAAGGGGTATCAATAATGTGGGCATATGCTCATAACTCCAACATTTATTGCTTGGTGGAATGAGGGCACAGAACATTTCTCAATCTGAACCAGGTTTTCCCAAACTTAGATCTCCAGCTCCTTTTGGACTACAGTTCCCATCATCCCTGACAACTGGCCCTGCTAGCTAGGGATGATGGGAGTTGTAGTCCAAAAACAGCTAGAGACCCAAGTTTGGAAAACCCAGGTTCTGAACAATTCCCTCCTTGGAGTGGATTGGAAGAAGTGCAATCACTCTCTAAGAAACAGCAAAGTAACAATAACACTTTTTTAAAAATCTGAACAGCAGCACATCTGAAAGGGCCTAGAATGAGGCAAGAAGCAAGAGTCATTCTTACCACAGGGTCATTGCCAGAGAACTGTGGCAAAGGACATTGACCTGATGTTTCCCACTCCAAATAATGATCTTTGCAGTAAGTGACATTGTGCAGCAACAAACTCTGAGGGGTCTGGCCACGGATGAGCTGACTAAACAGAAAAAGAAAAGCATTATAAAGCTAGAGCTGAATAAAAAATGGTCTTTGACATTCCCTTTTCACTTGCATTACCATCAAAAAGTCCCTCTGTGAATTAAAAATCTCATGAGCCTTTCTTTTAGCACACATGGAATAGCACAGTGGTGGTCAGCAGTGTCCATCACAATGGGGCAGTGCCAGCAGTGGCATCTTTGCTGCTTACTTGGACAATGTGCCAGGGTAAAGCTGGGCAGCAGTGAGGTCAGGGCTGTTCAGGCACGCTAGCGCAGCCAGTCCAGTGCTCCCCCCAGCGAACCAGGCAGCCTCAGCTTCACTCTTGCCCTGCCTCATTCTGGGGTGGCAGTGTGGTACCACCCCACTGTATCAGCCATTCCTGGTGGCGGCAGGCTGGGGGAAATTGTGGGTAGGTTACAGCAGGAAGCAGGAGTGTTGGCCTCTCAGACTGTTTCTATGCTGCCCTCAAAGATGTCCACTATCCCTCTTGCATAAATTTATAATATGGGTGATGTGACTTTGGGCACAATCTGGTAGGAAAGCAACACACAAATGATGACTTCTGATGATGATGACATTGAGTCATATTGAGGTATACTGATACTCACCCCATCCCATGGATAGCTAAACCAATGAAGAAAACAACAAACAGGTGATGAGTATACCAGAACACCTCATAGAAGGACCTTGTGATGATCTCTGTAGATGAAGTCATGATCAGAATTAATGACACAGTGATCAGGAGACCTGTCATTCCAGCAGTGGTTGTTAGTATTTCAGTTATTGTATTCTTTTTTGGGGGGGAAAGAAAAATAATAAAGTGGTTTTATAGGACAAATGAATAAATGTTGTAGCTTCAGCATAAAAATAAACACACGAAAGATTTGGGGGGTTTTAATCTGACATACTGGGTTGTTTCTAAGTATTACGCAGAGTAGACACACTGAAATTAATGGGCCTAAGTTAGTTATGTCTGTTATTTTTAATGGATAGAACTAGCATTGGATGCAACCTATTGGCACTGATAATTAAAACTTAGGTTTGTGCTGGAAAGTGGTATAAATAATATTAGCTGCAATTTGTTTGCTTCTGTGAAAGGATTACAGGAAATGATATGATCGAAGAGGTAGCTGTTTTGCTACACTGGAGTCCTTCTGAGGGAATGAAATAGAGCAAGATTCAATGAAACAGAAAGGTAAGAATGAAACCCATGCAGATTAATCTAGCTGTAACTTTCCAAAAGGCAGATGTTAGGCAATAATGAGTTATACACATGGTGCCACATTCTTCTTTCAAAATAAAGTGTGCTTGTGGAGACATCTGAAGACACTAAACATTTGAAGACTTTTTTGCTTCTATTGTTTCTGGTGTGTGTGTGTGAGAGAGAGAGAGAGAGAGAGAGCGAGCGCACGCATTTTCAAGGTAGGGGAAACAGTCCAATGACAAACACCAGCCAATCCCCAAAATGCCAACTTACCATGTCATAGTTCCTGATTGGGTTCAAGTAGGATTCATTAGGGCTCTTGCCAATGCCTGACAGTTTACTGCTTAACTCTCCTGCTTGTTTTGACTGGCTAAGATGGTATCGCTCTATGTTGATCAAATGTGCAATGATGTGAATGGCTTTGAAAAGAAAGAGTTATATAAAGTGAGGACCATAATATGAAATATTGGAAGCAAACAGATCCTTATTTCATGGATGAGTCATTGGGTAAACAATGGCTGGCTAAACATGTGTTCCCAGAATAGAGCTGGGTAGCCTTGATGATGGTGATGACAAATATTTTTCCTACAATGGTCAGGTAATGAGTTATGTGCTTGAGAACATAGCTTGGTTTACCTTTTGCATTCAATTTCTCTCTCTCTCTCTCTCTCTCGTGTGTGTGTGTGTGTGAGAGAGAGAGAGAGAGAGAGAGAGAGAATGTTACAATATAAACCATGAAAGGTTGATATTATCCCTGAATACATATTTATACTATAAATCAATATAATACTGTTTCAGTTCATATGTGATACATAACGTTCAAACATGGGGTGGTTCAGCCTCTATTTTTTAATGAAATGATTTTAAAATGTTGTCTTATTTTATTGTTGTTAGCCGCCCTGAGCCCGGCTTCAGCTGGAGAGGGCGGGATATAAATAAAAATTTATTTTTATTTTTTATTATGATTATGATTATTATCTTTCCACTTTTTCTACAGCTCTCCTTATCATTTAAAACCTGTGAATGCATGCAGGGGCCTGGTTTCATTCCCATAGGTTCAAAACACCAGAGTCGTTGTCCTATTCACTTCTGTGGGATTGCAGAGGAACAAGCACACAACATTGTCTTTCCCACTTCTGTGAATGAGGCTGCCCTTGTAGGCAACGTGCTGTTCAATTTACATTGAAGCCTTTTTGTGTGGAAGATGCATAGATCCCCACTTTTTTGCACTGTGGAGAAATGTGTGTGTTTGCCCATTGTAGTATATAGAGCACCCTTACATTCAAAACATGCCCATCACACGTCAGCAGCTATGGAAGAGCAGGTCATAAATGCAAGTCTATGATCATACATAAGTAGTTCATATGTGCTATTATTACTTTGTTGCACGCTAGTCTATAATTTTCCATCTATCTCATTGCTGGATTGTTTTATGGAGAGGGGGTTAGTAAATGAGCTGCAATTACAGGTCATTATCCATCAGTTCAGCATGTAGAAAAAGAGCCAAACAAGAGAGATGTCTTGATACATTTGGCTAATCTGTGTTTGTTCTCAGCGAAGCATATACAGCTCTTATTGAACTGGTGCACATACTTATTCAAGAGAGTAAAAGCCACTTCTCTGTCTTTCTGCATGCCTGTCTGGGATAATAGTTGCACTGAAGTTAGTCACCTTTTAATTAAGTACTTAAGCATACCCATTACAATCAGTTTCCTAACTTGTATTATATGGATTCTATTCTATTCATCAAAATGTTAAAATAGCACAATTTAAAATAAAACAAAAACATATTTTTAAACAGTTTAAAACTATCTAAAACATTTAGAAGCATCTCTTACACTCAGATTTATTAATTTCACAGTTACCGTGCTCAGAATTTAACAGTCATGTCTTAACCTGCATAGATTGCCAATGCCTCCCATTATTTACACCTCTCCTATACCGTGATCGCCACCATCCTGTAAATTCCTAGTCCATTAATAGCTTTCATGTCTTATCATAAATGCATACATACAAACATAGTTAGATAAAATCCCTGTTCCATTCCTCCCAAGGCAGAGGCCCTAAGCAGTATCTGTGGACAAGAAAGTAAAAACTAGAGGGGAATCCCAACCTCTCAACAACAATGTTTCCCATGCATCACATAACCAGCTCTGTCTAAAGCAGTCTTTCTCAACCTGTGGGTCCTCAGATGTTGTTGAACTACAACTCCCATCACCCCTAGCTAGCAAGGCCAGAGCTCAGGGATGATGAGAGTTGTAGTCCAACAATATCTGGGGACCCACAGGTTGAGAACCGCTGGTCTAAAGGGAGCCCCATCTACATGTATAGGGTTTTCCTCCATAGGAATGAGAAGCACGGCTGGGTAGTTTCCCCATCTTTGTAGAAGAAGCCCAAAAGTAGCACTTTTCAGACCCAGTCAATCATGTATGAGCTGGGAGAAAAATCTTTCTCCTGAAGCTGCTATTTGTATTGGGAGGAAATCTCCCTTTGGTGGACTTTAAGTTAATGCACCTTTAGTTTGATACCTTGAGGAAACTAAAACAAGATCAATTAATACATTTCTATTCCTGGAATGACTTGTTAATTAAAAGGGGGAAATTGTGCTTTCTTCAGGAATCCATTCTTATGATGAAAGGAAAGTGGTATGTTGTTGGGCTGATAGAGAAATATAACTCCACGCAGCACTGCAATGTGTTCTGCATTCCATGCTCTTTTGTGGTTTTGAGCAGAACAAAAATTCAGCTGACTGATCCTGGTGGGAAGTGTGCCATCTTGGAGCCCTTCCACAGTCCTTCTTGAAGGCAAGGGAGTATCAACAGCTGTTGGGCAGAACTCTTGAGCCACTGATCCTATTATTTAGACTCATCCCTTTTGCACTGGATCTGCATTGTATGCAGAAGGAATGAATCTAAGTTGATGGTTGGGTACAGGCGACTTCACACTTACATGAGGGTTTTTCGCAGCTTTTGTGCTCTTTTGGGGTCATTTTTGCCCGTTTCACACCGTTTTTGCAGTTTAAATCGAATTATTTATTCATTTCCCAACACACACATATACACGGTTGTATGCAAGTTGAACAAGTGTAAGCAGGGAGTTGCCTGTATATCAAAGAATGTAATATATGTCTTCTAAAAAATGGGGGGGGTTTAGTGAATGTATGGGAGAATGTTTATTTATTCAATGGCTGATGATAAAGAATGGATCTGAGTGCCGAATTGTTGGTGGGAACTATAGAGGGCATCTGGGAACATCTGCTGGAGGAAGGAAAGCCAAAAATACACACCACAAACAGCTAAAAGCAAGCGGTCTTTTGAAAATCTATGGCTATTTCCAATATGTGAGACCTAAGGTTAAAAGATCAGGAAGAAGGCCAAGACAGAAGGCTGTGTTCTGGTTGTCTTAGGACTCCTGAAAGTACAAAAGATCAGGGAGTGGGAACCTGTCTGAAAAACAGCATACGATGGAACAACATATGAGGGTCTGGGAAACTACCCCGATGACCCCAGATCAATGACCTCAAATGCTACTCACTCCTAACTTTCATCATGTTTGATGAAAACTGGAAAGTATAAAGCAACGACTTGTGCACCTAGGATTTTGGAGATCAAGAAGACAAGTCCAGTGGTCAGAGTGCATCAGCCAAACTCTTCACCTCTTCACCAGCTCTGCTCAGATTGGCCATCAGAGGAGATATGCTTGAGTAAGTATGAATGGATAGGGATAATGTGTAGGCAAACTAAGGCCTGGGGCCGGATCCGGCCCAATCGCCTTCTAAATCCGGCCAGCCAACGGTCTGGGAATCAGCGTGTTTTTACATGAGTAGAATATGCCATTTTATTTAAAACGCATCTCTGGGTTATTTGTGGGGCCTGCCTGGTGTTTTTACATGAGTAGAATGTGTGCTTTTATTTAAAATGCATCTCTGGGTTATTTGTGGTGCATAGGAATTCGTTCATTTTTTTTCTTCAAAATGGAGTCCAGGCCTCCACAAGGTCTGAGGGACAGTGGACCGGCCCCCTGCTGAAAAAGTTTGCTGACCCCTGGTTTAGACCTTGTTATTGACTAAATAATTGATTGCAGCATATAGGTGTGTGTTTGGTCTTTGGCACTCCTATCCGTAAGATCCTCCTGTTTAAAAGGGTAAGTCATCTGACCCAGCAATTAAATGGTTAAAGGCACACATTCTGCATAACAAAGGATCTGTGTTGCTCCTTGGATGTAGCAAAGAAAGCTGCAGAAAACTTTGTAGAAAACTGGAATGGTTTGGAGAAGAGCGAATGCTCTTGCCTCTTGTGAAGACTGCACGTTTTCTAGTAACTAATGAGAGGAGAAATTTCTTGAGAGAATGCTGTCTCCTGCCAGGGAGATTCAGAATTTTAACTCTTGTTTTATGCTTTTATCCAGTTAGGTTTTACATAATTGTATTTGGATTTGCATGGATTCATTTTGTTTCATCTCATTTTTATTTCAATTTAATATTGCATTTTCATATTTGTTAAAAGAGGGCCATTTTCTTTCTTTCTTTCTTTTTTTTAAAGGGGCAGGGTAGTGCTATGCCAGGAAAAATCAGGGTGGCATTCAACTAAGTTTTACTAAGAGTAGACCCATTGAAGAGAATGGACCTGAGTCATGATCATTACTTTCAGTGGTTCTACCTTGAGTAAGCCTTAGTTGGCATTTTAAGCTTGTTTATGCTGCAGGGTTTCGGTGGATCTAAACTTCAGTCAATGTTACCTTGCGTTACTTTCATTCTGTTAAACCTTTGTTTTGTAATGATCTGATGACTAGATAGAAATAAAGGAAACTGAATCTCACCTGCTACTAAAATATGTAAGAATTGCAAATCAATACTAGGGGTACCATAGGGACACGGGTGGCGCTGTGGGTAAAAGCCTCAGCGCCTAGGGCTTGCCGATCGAAAGGTCGGCGGTTCGAATCCCCGCGGCGGGGTGCGCTCCCGCTGCTCGGTCCCAGCGCCTGCCAACCTAGCAGTTCGAAAGCACCCCCGGGTGCAAGTAGATAAATAGGGACCGCTTACTAGCGGGAAGGTAAACGGCATTTCCGTGTGCAGCTCTGGCTTGCCAGAGCAGCGATGTCACGCTGGCCACGTGACCCGGAAGTGTCTCCGGACAGCGCTGGCCCCCGGCCTCTTGAGTGAGATGGGCGCACAACCCCAGAGTCTGGCAAGACTGGCCCGTACGGGCAGGGGTACCTTTACCTTTACCTTACTAGGGGTACCATAAGTGATACCAGACAGAGCTTCTTCCTTTTCCCAAAAAACAACTGCATTTATTCACTCCCTCAGCAAGCAATCCCTGAAATAACAGAACCGGTCTCCGTCACAGCAGAAAGTGTTGTTATCAGAGAGAAGGGAAAATGCACTCTTACCTGGGAGTTTCATTGAAAACAATAGATTCTAAGGAGACATATTTGAGAACACTGAGAGTGTCTCTGGATACCAAGGGTAGAAAGTTGAGTTCTTCAGAGATCCCCCCCTACCCCCCCCCCAGTATTTTATGTTTTGTTTGCTCACACCTGAATTCCAAATATTCAGGCATTTTATTGAAAGTGTGTGGCTAAAAGCAGGGCCAGGCCACACATACAAAGCTGGCCCTCAGTGTCCCCACATTGGCCAGTTCCACATTGGACCTCCCTGCATTAAGACTGCATGATTAAAAGGTAAAGGTAAAGGTACCCCTGCCCGTACGGGCCAGTCTTGACAGACTCTAGGGTTGTGCGCTCATCTCACTCTAGAGGCCGGGAGCCAGCGCTGTCCGCAGACACTTCCGGGTCACATGGCCAGCGTGACAAGCTGCATCTGGCGAGCCAGCGCAGCACACGGAACGCCGTTTACCTTCCCGCTAGTAAGCGGTCCCTATTTATCTACTTGCACCCGGGGGTGCTTTCGAACTGCTAGGTTGGCAGGCGCTGGGACCGAGCAACGGGAGCGCACCCCGCCGTGGGGATTCGAACCGCCGACCTTTAGATCGGCAAGTCCTAGGCGCTGAGGCTTTTACCCACAGCGCCACCCACAGCGCCACAAATTCATAACACTCCAGACAAAACAAGGAAGCCTACATTGTAAGCATTAGGTTTTAAAAAAAAAAACCTACTTGCATTCACAGCTACTCCATATGCAATAGTCTTGTGAAATGTGACACTTTTGTCAAGTTGTCTCCTCAGGACTCCTCCACAACACTTGATGAAAAGGGGGGAAGATATGCATCTTAAATCATTTTTATGAACTTGAAATTGCATGCAAACATAATTATAAAGTACAGTTTATCTAGTCCAGAATTTACTGAACATAGCTGTAATACTGCAGCCAGAAGCAATATTGAGAGGTGATTCCAAGATTCACCTATGTTCACTCCTACAATAATAAACTATGGTTTATCATTTCAAGAATGATCAAAAACCCTTAGGGAAAAAGGAGACGGTGCTGCTGTCACTGATAATGGCGAGCTACACTCCTGAAAAACTGTTACAGAGTTTCTCCTCACCTTGGAGAAGTTTGATGGCATGGTCCCCCTCATTTCCTTGCTCAAAATTAGGCTGGAGAATTTTGAGAGGCCATTTTGAGAGGCAAAACTCAAGTTAATTTTGGCTGTGGTTTATTGTAACAAGCTAGCTTCACAATCCAATACCTGAAGTAGGCTTCTTTAAGTAAACCATAGTTAAAGCTAATTGAAGCTTGTTCAGTTTGGGGCATAATGCTAAACAACTGGTGGTTAAAAAAAAAAATAGTAGCAAAAGCTCCAATGTCCTCCCTGCAGCTATATCAGCTGGGGAGAAAAGAAGAGAGAGTGAATGAGTCTAAGTCACCTAGGCTCACTCCAGCAATGATAAACTTTTGTTTTTGTTTTTATTATGTATTTTCTCTTTTCATCTTGTATTTTTATGCTGTGAAGTGCCCTGAAGGGTGGTATGCAAATAAAATGAATGAATGACCTTTAAAGCCCTAAACAGCCCCGGTCCAGTATACCTGAAGGAGCGTCTCCACCGCCATCGTTCTGCTTAACACTGAGGTCCAGCGCCGAGTGCCTTCTGGCGGTTCCCTCATAACGAGAAGACAAGTTACAGGGAACCAGGCAGAGGGCCTTCTCGGTAGTGGCGCCTTCCCTGTGGAACACCCTCCCACCAGATGTCAAAGAGAACAACAACTACCAGACTTTTAGAAGACATCTGAAGGCAGCCCTGTTTAGGGAAGCTTTTAATGTTAACAGACTATTGTATTTTAATATTCTGTTGGAAGCCACCCAGAGTGGCTGGGGAAACCCAGCCAGATGGGTGGGATATTAATAAATTATTATTATTATTATTATTATTATTATTATTATTATTATTTAAATATTATAGCTATATTTGCAACACTGTGATGAGTCTATGGAAAAATACACTCCTATAAATATCCACTAGCAGTCAAATGCTTGAGTTTACCAGTTTCTTTTAAATGTGCATTTATAACAAGAAGATTATCAGTGAACCTTTTCAATTATCGTTTCAAAGGCAATACTTGTGCAATAGGAAAAAAAGTACTTACAAAACTTGTTCCCCTTAAGAATGAAACCAGGTTTCTACTAACTGGTAAGAGGATTAGCAGGCAGTTAAAGTTGAGGCAGGTGGCAGAAGCTCTTGCCCAGGCAAGCGTGGACTAGACACAAAATGACAAAATGTGTTACACATATGAAATGAATAAAAGCACAAGAAATGTTTTAGGGCCCCCCCCCAAGCTGACAAATTACCATTTTATTTTATGTTTCACAGCTTTACAGCCAGGGAGGGCAATTCTGCCGTACAGCAGGGTGAAGCGACCTGGTGTGTGTGTGAAATGGATGAAGGCAAGATTTGGAATCTTAATGCTGCAACAAGACTTTTAATGTTTTGGTCCTCATCGCTCCCAGACATCATGGCCAATGGCCAAGAATGATGGAGGTTGTAGTCACAAAGTAGCTGGAAAGCACCGAATTGGGGAAGGCTGTAGTAGTATATAATGTCACAAATCATACCATGTTAGGTAGTCAGGAATATTATGATGTCCCTGCAGTAAGTGGTTCTGCTTGGGTAAGAGGTGCATATAGATACATGATTCAGGAAACAATGGATAAGTTATTTTTCTAATCCAGTTTATGACTAACAAAAATGAATGAGATATGGATGCAGTATACTTCTAAATCACAAAACTAAAACGAATCAAGTGGGATAAAAAAAAAAGCAACCAATTAGGCTGGTTTTAAAATTATGGGGCATTTGGTTACAAAAAATGGGGGGGGGGGAAGAGACATGAAGCAGAATGGCATGCAGATCAGTGAGACTTTAGGGTAAATAACAATGCAGAAGCACATCCAAGAGAAAGCCTGGTTAAAGGGGCATTTAACAAACTTTTACTTACACCCAACATAACCCGAGTATAAAGATAGGCACCCTCCTCTTCATACCAGTTGAATGTGTCAATAAACAGGTATAAGTTCATTCCCAACCACAATAACTACAGTAAATAGAAAATATATTGAAGATCAATTACAATTACAATGTTCTTTTCCTCATTTTCTTTTCTAATGCAATGTATAATTAAGAAATTTCACAATTGCGTTGTATTTGTCAAAAGAACCCAATTCTAAACAGAATGAAACTTTTGAGCATCAGTTGTGTGAATGATAAAAATGAAACATTTAGGGGAAAGTAGAGAGTTCCTTTGAAATATCAGAAAATGAATCAGAACCAGCAGCTTGATTATGAAATAGATACTTACAAATAACAGAACTGACAAGCTTTCATTCAAAATCCAATACACCATCTTGATTGTCTCTGTTCTGTGCTAGCAACAATTCACTCCCTTGTAATACAAATTGAATTCTCTGTATCTTCCTCTTGCTGCATAATCAGCTCTCTGGAGCAGCAGCCTAGGAATATTCTAATTAAGGACTTCCTACCAGATGTCGATCTCCAAGGGGGACATAGTTTGTGATGTGAGAAACTAATCTAATAGGCAGTTTCTGTCCAAATTATTTTGGAATAAATGAAAGGTTTATTAGAATCAGTGAATCCCAGCCCCCACCCACCCAGCTTCAAACAACAGGTTTCAAATACACCCTTGATTTTCCCCACCCACCCACCCCTTACAAACACTGGAGATTAGGAAGCTGTCTTATAGACTGAAGCTGGTCCGTCTAGTTCAACATTGTATACACTGACTGGCAGTGGTTTTCCATAGTTTTAGATAGGGAACTTTTCCCAGTCCTACCTGAAATGCAGGGGATTCAACCTGGGACATTCTGCATACCAAACAGGTGTTCTACTCTACCACCAAGATGTGGCTCTTTCCCAACAGTAATGCAATATTTAGCATATACATGTGTGTATATAATATATGGAAAATATCCAATGGGTGCTGTGCAGAGCTTCCACCTGCAGTCTAGAATTTCTCATAGCTCTAGCCAGATTCTACATCAACTAATTTTACTTACCTTCAAAACCCTCCATGACATGGCCCCACCCTGCTATTTTTCTGCTCTGGATCCCAGCTCAACCAGTCTCAACCATCCAAAGATCTTTTGCCCATTCTCCCTCACTTTCCCTTATGCCTGGAGCTTCCTCCAAGAATCCTCCAACTGCTCTCCCTTATGTCCTCTTCAGAACTCACTTTTCCCAGGAAGCCTTTGGAATATCCCCCTAGATGCAACACCCTGTTGTAACTAAGCCAAAGTAGAATAGAATACAGTGGTACCTCAGGTTAAGAACTTAATTCATTCCGGAGGTCCGTTCTTAACCTGAAACTGTTCTTAACCTGAAGCACCACTTTAGCTAACGGGGTCTCCTGCTGCCGCTGCACCACTGGAGCACGATTTCTGTTCTCATCCTGAAGCAAAGTTCTTAACCCGAGGTACTATTTCTGGGTTAGCGGAGTTTGTAACCTGAAGCGTCTATAACCTGAAGCGTATGTAACCTGAGGTACCACTCTATATTCTTCACCTGTTTACCCTTTCCTCCACCCCCTTCCTCTGTGCCTTTTAAGATGATATGCCTCTTGGAAGCAAGGACCCATCAGATCTGTTTTATGAAAAGCCCCATGCACATGGATGGTAGCATATAAAGAAATAAATTTATAATAAACAAATTTAATCCACAGTTTAAGGAGGATATTGACAAGCTGGAATATGCGTTAGAGGAGGGTGACCAAGTTGATGAGGGGTCTGGAAACCAAGCCTTATGAGGAACAGTTGAAGGAGCTGGGTTTGTTTAGCCTGGAAAAGAAGGAACTGAGAAGATATATGATAGCCACCTTCAAATTTCTAAAGGGCTGTCATGTGGAAGATGGAGCATGTTTGTTTTCTCCTGCTCTGGAGGGTAGAACCCAAACCAAATGGATTCAAGTTACAAGAAAGAAGATTCTTGTACTAAATGCCAGGAAGAAAGAAGATTCCTGACTAAACATCAGGAAGAACTTTCTGAATGTAAGAGCTGTTTGACAGTGGAACAGACTCCCTCCGAAGGTGGTGGACTCTCCTTCCTTGGAGGTTTTCAAGCAGAGGTTGGATGGCCATCTGTCATGGATGCTTTAGTTGAGATTCCTGCATTGCAGGGGCCCTCCCTCAGGGGCCCTTCCAGAACTACAATTCTATGATTCTGTGGTTCTAAATTATTCAGGTTATTATTACAGCATGGCGCACTACACCTTTCTCACACTGGCTGAAGAAGAAAGAAAATGACACAGCAGCAAAGAAGAATGACCAGAGCATGACTAAGGTGAATGCCAATTTCGGCTCCCTCATCCTAAAAAAAAAGGAAGAAAGTAAGTCTGCATCTGAATTAGTCATACTTCAAAGCAAAAAAAAAGGGGGGGGAAAGCTGTATGAGACATTCTGCTTTGAAGTACAGCTGATTCAGACACCAATTTTCTAAAATGCGTATTATTTTTTTAAGACATCTGACTGGGATTTTTTCCAAGTACAGCAGATTCAGAAACTGATTTGGGTTCCTAAACTTGTCTGTGCTTGTAGCTGTACTTCAAAGAAGACTAGTTCTGCGTAGCATTCTGCTTTGAAGTGCATCAGTTCCAGATGCTCGTTTTTTTAAAGAAGCCAGTGCTAGTGCATGAACTGATAGTGCTTCTTTAAATTATTATCCAGCAGATAGTAGAGTACATTTTCTTACATGAAATGAATTAATATCCATTGTGAAAGATGAATGAAGTGATGGTATACTCTGTGACCTTGCCACTGATATCAGCGAGAGATACTTACCCCCTTTTTATCTGATATAAGCAACTGCCCAAAGATAACACACAAAGTGTAAGCAGAGGTTACTGTGTATATACAGAGAATATACAGAGCTGTCCAATTAGACAGGAGTAGCAACAAAAAGTATGCAGAGGAAATAATTATTAAATAGTTGGCTGTTAGATTTCAATTCTGCTGTTTACATTTTCTGAGCCTAGTCACGTTCATTTTAGAATAAAACCCAACCTACACATAAGAAAATTATAACCATGATTCCGCTTTTCAGAGACTGTGGTCGCCTCTGAACTGTTCGTAATTTACGGAGTGGATTCAGTCACATAACGGAAATGGATGTTTGCACAATTAAAGTGGATTAAAGCCCTCAGGAATTTTTGTGGCTAAAGAAGTGGCACACTTTCAGACTGGAGACTGGACCCCAGTTCTGGGTGCTACAATTTGAGAAGGATATTGACAAGCTGAAACGTGTGCAGAGGAGGGCAACCAAGATGTTCAAGGGTCTGGAAACCAAGCCTTATGAGAAATAGTTGTCATTCAAATGGTTTGTATGCTCCGCATCTTGTGATTGATTATGCAGGGTAAGGCTTACCATTCGTCTCTGCCCCCAATGTTTTTTAAATAATTTTTTTATTGCATTTTAAAATCTGCAAATATACAGTTATACCTCGGGTTGAATGTGCTTTGGGTTGAGCACGTTCGAGTTGTGCTCCGCGGCAACCCGGAAGTAATGGAACGTGTTACTTCCGGGTTTCGCCACTCGCGCAGATACTCAAAACGACGTCATGCGCATGCGCGGAAGCGGCAAACCGTGACCCGCGCATGCGCAGATGTGCTGTCACGGCTTACGTTGCATTCAGGATGCGAACGGGGCTCCGGAACAGATCCCATTCGCATCCCGAGGTACCACTGTACATCTTATTTCCTTCATTCTTATACATACATACTTGCATGCATGCATGCATACATACATACATACATACATACATAATCTATTTCTTCTTCTAAAATTATTCATTTCCATAGTACATTAATTGACTTCCCCCTACCTCTTAGCGGATTCTTCATATCTCTTTATTTCCTTTTTCCTTCAAACTGTGTTCTAGTATTCTTTCAACCTTTCCTCTCTATAAAATAACTCATCTAACTGTTTTTTACTTTGTGAAATTTATTCTAGGCACATCGACGTTTTAAGTTGGGAACCATGTTTAGCTAGATAATTTTTAAAATATTCCCATTCCTTTTTAAACCTTGTAAACGAGTGATTTCTTATCACTTCGGTCATTTTGGCTAGTTCTACATATTCACCCAATTTACTTTGCCACTCTTCCTTAGTTGGAGTCGAATTCCCTTTCCAGTATTTGGCAATTACGTAATACTCTATTTCTATATGCAACTACGCTGGCTAATCTTTTGCTTTCTTTTGGGATGTTTATTGTCATAATGCCCAATAAAAAGGCTTCTGGTCTTTTAGTGCAGTGTTTCCCAACCTTGTGCCTCCAGCTGTTTTTGGACTACAATTCCCATCATCCCTTGCCACTGGTCTTGCTAGTCAGGGATGATGGGAGTTGTAGTTCAAAAACAGCTGGAGGCACAAGGTTGGGAAACACTGTTTTAGTGAATGTTTGAGCATTTTCTTTAATTCTTCATAGACCATGTCCCCAAATCCCCCCCCAATGTTTTATCCAAGTTGGCATCTCTAGTATGAGGGGTTATCCCTTAAGAAAACTGGTTTCTTGGGAAGAGGGTTAAATCTAGAGCCCTTCCCACCCCACCTCTGAGAAAAAGAATTCAAACATGTAGTCTCTTGCAATTGCAATTTGACTGTGAATCACCCAGTCTGGGGTGAGGGGGACCTACAATGAATGCCTCTGCTAGGTATGACTGCATCTGTCAGTTTTGGTTTTCTCATTTTACTCATTTTTTCAATGTTAAGCACAGTTCTCCATATGTCTACACCCGCTTGCAATTTAAAAAGCAAATGAGACCTTGTGAAAACCCATCCTAATTTCAGTTGGAGGTCTCCTGCTGTATACATTTTTATATGCAGTTTGGCCCAATGGAATGCAATTATGAGCATTATTTTCAGCAATTCATGCATTTGTAGGCACACTTTGCCCCAGCACAGGAAGTTCTGTACATATTGCTTGGCTCGAGAAGTGCATTGCAAAATCCAGAGGACTGCAAATTTCGAAGGATGGCTGTTTTGCAAAGTGTGCCAGAGACCGCAAATTAGGCAGGTTCGCCTTTAAATGCAAAAGGAATCAAATTTCTCCCTCACCCCCACGTGTGGATCAGCTGACATCCTACTCATTTTGATTAAACCAAATTAAAGCGTGCATAGTGCCTCAGACAGCGTTATTTGAAAAGAAGGGGGAAACCTGGTAATTCTTTCTGTTCTTCTCTCCTCCTCCAGAGCTATAAGCTTTAGGCTTGCCTGAGGCTTTTAGTGCTTTAGTAAAAATGCACTTGAAGGGTTTAAAAAAATATGTTGCAGTGCAACAGGTGGATACAAAATGTTTCTCATTCTGTTCAAAATGAGTGCTTCTGTTACTAGAAGATTGAAAGGAGCTATTAAAACGTGCAGGGAGCCTTAATATCCCCCAAGGAATGGCAGGGAGGGAAACAGAGTGAATTAATTTCACTTTACCATGAATAATTCATTTAAAAAAAAAACCCCAAATCTATCTTATTAGCATGACAAGTGGTACCAGGGGTTTCCAAAGTAAACA